AAAAAAAAAAAAAAAAAAGACCAGGGCTTAGTGCAGTGTCTGCACTTTATCTTTCTCTATATTTTTTATTCTATTAGAAAATTATTCTTCCTTGCTATTAGAGAAAGACATGCATGCAAACACGCATAAAATACACACCAAATTTTGCTGTGGTTAGGCTCAAATTCTGCCATTGTTGTTGTGTTTTTTAAAAAATAATGTAAAAAAACAAATAAATAATGTAATTGCCTTATGTAACTATGTCTTGACCTTCCAGTTCACAAATTAGTGTAAGATGGACAGCTTTAAGAATTCTCTTGTTAACAAGAGCTTCAAAAAGTTGAAAGGTAGACTTTTATAGGGGAAAAATGTTTATCAGTGGTTAAATTGTATGATGGAAGTTTAGATATTTTCTGTGGGCTTTTTTTTTTAAGCTTTTTAGACTAGTGGTCACCGAAGTGTAATTATACACACTTCCAGAGAATGCAAGAAAAAGAATACCAATACTTCTGAAGTAAATAAATATATATAAACTTATGTATTTGTCTCTCCATTTAAAAATTTCTGATTCCATATATTATTGTATTAGTACATACTAACTTATAATACTACATATTTTATAAGTAAATAAAAATACATACTGGAACAGGTACTTAAAAACATTTTCACTGATATGTTTATATAAGTAATGAATAGACTATAATAAAGAATCGATGATGGTCACACTTATTACTTCTAAAAATATGAGACCATTTGAGTCCTTAAGGTGAAGGATAAATGGAAAACCTCAACTGATTTGTGCTCTTATTGCTATTATTGTTACTGTTGTTCTAAGGTAGTACTGTACCAGGAGAAGCAGAGGTAAGTAGAGGGACTAGAATAAAAAAGAATGAGGAACTTAATTGGCAGTTAAAATGGAGTTGAGTTTTACTGAAAAGAACTTCCTCACCATAGCTGAAGGAATACATACAAGTTATAAGAAGTTAAAAAGATAATGAGAAAAATGCCCTCAGAGACTTCTGTTGCTTTGTGAAGGAAGAGAGAATGAATATCATCAGTTAATTAAGCAGC